GATAGTATAGTTTAGTTAAGTGTTGAGTTGTAAATTGTGATAACTAGTAAGTTTCTTAAAAAAAATCTTGTGCCAAAACTTTTAGGACATACGGCAAGTTTGCTATTGTATTCAATAAAAGTAGTTTGAAAGCATTCAAACATCAATTTTCTAACAGTGCAATTCCGAAATCTTTTAGGGTACGGAGCATAGACAGGGTGATTAGTAAAACAATTGTAATATTTCTATAGTAGAGAGTACATACAAATGTGAATGCATGCGTGAAGTAACTTTCAGGTATGACACCGTAAGACGAGTGCCCTTATCGCTCGTCATCCAAAAAGCTTCTGGTTACGTCTTGATTTCTGTCGTTGTACTGAAAAGATTTGCACCGGAGGTTGCATTATCCCAAATCCGGCACTTTCCTAAAAAACTGGAAATTTGCGTCCCAAGAAAAGGATCTACGACCGACCCTTATAACTACAAGTCTATATGTTTGCTTCCTATTATAAGAAATAGAAACTAGCTCTACAGGCCTATTAGGCACTTGGCTTGATTGGCGATCCTTCGCCATTCTTCTGTATTCATTGCTCTTCTTTTCCAATCACGAATGTTTAATTTCCTCAGGTCATCTTTCACCTCAGTTTTCCATCTCGTTCCAGGTCTGCCTCTCCTTTTCTTCCCTCCTATTGAATGGGTAAGCAGGGTCTTTGGTACTCTATGTTCTGCCATTCTTTGCACGTGTCCCAACCATCTCCACCTCTGAGCTCTTATGACCGCCGTTATGTTGGGCTCTTTAAACAGTTCTTCCAACTCATCATTTGGTCTTCGGGTCCACGTACCATCATCTTGCCACCAAAAATCTTCCTTAACACTTTCCGTTCCCATATCTCCAGCTTTGCTTGCTCTGCCTTTGTTATCGTCCATGTTTCACATCCATACCTGACCACTGGCCTTATTAGCGTTTTGTAGAATCAGATTTTAGATCCCCTGGATATAATTTGGCTTTTCATTAGCCCTTTTAGCGCATATATGGCACGATTTCCAGTCACCATTCTTTTTTGTATTTGCTCTCTATTATAAGAAAGGTGATTGAGATGTACGCAAGTTGGGAACCTCTGGAATACCTCGAACGTCACAACTTTGGGGTAAACACATCCAAGTTATCGTGAGGTTCATGTCGTTGCTTCTCATATCACGAAAGCGTTCGATCAGCTGTGCCATGCTGCCCTCTTATCCAAACTTTCAGCCCATGGCCTCCCAGAGAAACTTTTCAGATAGGTGGCTGACTTTCTCTCTGACCGCAAGATATCCGTCGTAATTGACAGGTTCTCCTCTTCACCTCACATTCCTGTACGATCAACCCAATCCACAGCTTTGCTGAGGCAGCACTACATGCAGGAACGTAGAGCTATTGGCCGATCTCTGGCGATGAGCTGGGAAAAAGAAGACTAGCAGCTAGTCCCTCTCTGACGAGAGACCTGGAGCTTATCACTGCTTGGAGACGCAAAGATCTTTCTTTTATCCTTAGGCCTTTCAAAGTTACTTTAAGCTCCTCATAACAACCGCTGTGCCCTGGCATTCAGGCTTCTGCCTGTGCGGCAGCTTAGCTTTAAAAAATACCGAGATTCATGAATATTGTCTAAAGAAGCTATGGCAGATGGATTACCCTCCTGACACACTCAACACAGATTTCAATGTCAAACTTCACCAAATTCTGTGTATTTTTGAAGCAGCAAAATGTTTCTTGGTGATTTCACCTTAAATATTCAGAACCAAACTAATAATATAGCTTTCTCATCTCGTCGTTTGTTATTTGAGCGGTCTGTAAGACCTTGGATCTCGACTGGCAGAATGATGTTTTCTTTCTTCAAAATGTTCCTGAGCCCAGCCAGGGGAGATTTTTAATTAAGTACGAGGGTGGTTTTGCATATAGAAACATAGTAGGCCGCACGGATCGGATCGAACGTCAGTACTGAATCTTAACCTCAAGCTTTAGTAAACTTAAATTCAAAGTTTCACAACAATACGTGCAGTGTTCTCACTACAGTGATTTTTAAGTGTCACCGAGTCATTAGAAAAATGGAACTCAACCGAGAACATTTCCGCCCAATAATGTATTACAACTTTCAGAGACAAAAACAAGAATGCCTTGCTGAGTTACTGTCTGTTTTCAGCAACGAAGCACCACATCAGTCGACAATTTCCCGTTGGTATGGAGAATTCAAACGAGGACGGGTGAGTCTTAGCGACGATCCCAGAGTGGGTGCACCAAAAACGGCAGTCACCCAGGAAAACGTCGATGCTGTGCGCAAACTCATCATTGAAGATAGACATGTGACATATCGCGAGATTGAGGCGTCCTTGAAGATCTCAAAGGCCTCAATTCAAAAAATATTCCATGAGGAATTAGGAGTAAGAAAATTAGTTTCTCTTTGGATACACCACCTGTTGACTGAGCAGAAAGCAGCCAGGGTTAATTGGTGTAAAAAAACGCTTGACCGTTTCAATTCCGGAAGCTCAAAGAATGTGTAAAGCATTGTTAGTGGTGATGAATCGTGGATTTACTGTTATGAACCAGAAAATAAACGACAGTCGGCTGTTCGGGTGTTCCAAGGTAAAGAAAAGCCAACAGAAGTCATCCGTCCTCGAAGTGTTTCGAAAAAGATGGTCGCGACATTTGTGTCAAAAGCGGGTCATATTGCAACATATCCTCTTAATGAGCAAAGAACTGTTACTGCGGATTGGTATACCACCATTTGTTTGCCAAAAGTCATCACCGAGCTTCGAAAAATCAACCCCGAAAGAAGAATCGTCCTCCACCAAGACAATGCAAGCTTGCACACAGCCCAAAAAACCAGGCAGTATTTGATGGAAGAAAACGTGGAATTATTGGACCACCCTCCATATAGGCCCGATCTAAGTCCTAACGATTCCTTTACTTTCCAGAAAATTACAAACAGACTGCGTGGTCAAAGGTTCCAGTCACCAGAAAAAGCAATTGACGCATTCAAAAATGCAGTTTTGGATCTGCCAGCAAACGAGTGGAATAAGTGCTTCGAAAATTGGTTCGAGCGCATGCAGATGTGTATTAATCTTCGTGGAGAATACTTCGAAAAACAGTAAAGCTATTTAAAGCTACCTACCGTGTTGTTTTATTTCCATATGCAAAACTTAAAAGACATCCCTCGTATAAGTATAGCTTTCGTTCATCCGACCACCAACCAAAACCAGCTGTTTCTACGACAGCGTGATATTCTTAATAGTTCGACCGATTTCTAACATAGCCAACTGGGATTACCTTATAGAAAACCTCAATTTGTCTAAGACATACTGCAAAACGCAGAAGTTTTTGTCTAACAAGTTTCTTTGCCGTCCAAACGCCAAACAGCTCGTTTCCTGAAATCACGCATCTACCTGAAAATTGTTTATTCCAAAAGTTTAGTAAAGTTGCTTATTAAATCGCTATGATTTAACTACCATGATTCGAGTCTAGTCGAACGTGTCGAACGAGTCGAACGTGTTTGTTGTATTACTCCTGTTGAAGTGCATGTTTGTGAGGTACAACAGCATTGAAAATTACCAATCTTGCATCAAATCCATAGCAGACACTACCAACTACACTACCTACAAAAAACCAGGTATTTTAGCATGTAAGAACAAAATAGTAGATGCAAACGCACGTGCACAACAATATCGCAAAAAGAAACTGTAATAGACCAGTAGACTCACGCACAATTTCGTGGAGCGTTATGATTGAAGAAGTTAATGATATCTCAAATAAACAAATCTACGACCTACTGCACAGTATATTAGCAAAAAATACTCAAATAGAGCAAGATATCCATAACAATAAAGAAGAGATCAAGAAGGAAATCCAAATTTTAAGACAAGACATCACGACAGAGCTATATAACCTATAAAGAGAAAACAAAAAGTTAAAAGAAAAAATCGACAAGTTAGAAGAAGAACTGAATAGTACAGAACGCCAAGTGAAAAAGTATAACGTAATATTTTATGGAGTGAAAGAAGCTGGAGATACAGTTACTGACTTGGACAGTATTTTGAAAATATTCAATGAAAAGCTGGAAGTTAAATGTAGCCTTGCTGAGTTCCGGGATATACACAGAATAGGGAGGAAGCAAGAAAACAAAATCAGACCGGTTGTCGCCGAAGTAATAAATTATCAACTAAAGAAAGTAAGCCTGGAGAATTCGAAGAAGCTGAAAGGTACTGGAATATATTTAAGTTTGGATTACACAAAACAAGATTATCAACAAAGAAAAATATTGTATACAAACTTGAAGGTGGCTAAAAGTGCTGGACTGGAAGCGAAAATACACAACCATACACTTCTCATAGGAGAGGACATCTTTACCTCTGACGATTTATCACAGGGGACTCCCGATGTTTTAACGGCGGCAATTCTGAAGCTGAATGTAGAACCTCAAAATACAGGAGAAAATTCAAGAAACTCTTTGAAAAGAAAAAACATTGTCGAGGAAAAACCCAAGAGATCCACCAGAATCAAGAGCACCAGTAAATAAAGAAATATTATTTTTATCCATCACGAGTATATTTTACTAATACCGGTTGTTCTTCAGCTCATTGATAGCCCAATCTTTTGAATGTTTCAATTTTGTCATTTTGGTATATTTTTGACACTTTCAGCATGTACCGATTATTTATACTACTTATAGAATATATGGTATTTATTTACTTTTCACCCATTGCCAAATCCGTTGATCTCAATTTTGTCCTTATTACCAGTGTGTGACTGTTAAATCTAAACAAATAAGTTTTTATGGTACTATTCTCATCTCATCGCCTTCCTATACCTAGTTTTATTGATTTATTATTCTGTTCTGTTTATCCGGGTGTTTTTATTAGTATTGCATATAATTGTTGCGTTGTCTTTATTCTGTATAGATCTAATATATTTATCATGTGGTTATACTCATTTTACTGGCAAAATACGTTGGGTGCTCTTTAAGAATAAGCCTTCGCCAGATGTTTTCAATATGTCTAGACGTCTAAAATTCATTAGCTTCAACGTAAGGTCAATTCAGTCTGGTTTTCTAACTTTGAAGGAGTATGTTGTTGACTGTGCTGTCGATGTCCTGGGTCTCAGTGAGACTTGGCTAACCCCAGATATTGATTCCTCCTCAGTATTTATCAACGACTTCAATGTCGTTAGAGCAGATCGAAATAGCAGAGGCGGGGGCGTCGCGTTTTATGTGAGAAATGGTATTGCCTTCAAAATATTGCACTCTAATATCACCGCAGTATTGGAAGAACTTTGGATCTCTGTAAAGGTTAATCAACGCAAATATTGTCTAGCTATAGTCTACCGTCCACCATCGGCAAACGTGCTTGACTGTTTTCATCAATTAACTGAGTCTTTAACCAACCTTTCACTCGATAATGATTACGCAGTTGTCATGGGCGATTTTAATATTAATGTTTTAGTGAACGACGGCCGATCCGAGATGCTGAACTGTTTTCTTGAGTCTTTTGATCTGTCTCAGTTAGTCAAAGAGCCCACACGTATAACTTCCAATAGCCAGACAGCTATAGACTTGCTCATGGTTAGCTCTGCTGATATAATAAGTGGTTATGAAGTTGTTGACGTAGATGGAATATCTGACCATCTAGCCCTAATATTTTATGTAGATGCATCGGAGATAAGCAACCTATGTAAACTGAGGACATATCGTGATTACTCTACCTTTAGCCTAGACAATTTCTACCATGATTTACTTTTAATAAACTGGGATTTTATATATACGTTGAGAGATGTGGATCAAATGATTGACTTCCTGAGCTCTAATATCTTGTGCACCTTCAACTTGCATGCTCCTGTCAGAAACATTCGAGTTACCAAGCCACCAGCTCCTTGGCGAACATTCAACATAAAACTCATGATGCGAACAAAAAGTGACGCATATAAAAAATTTAAACGTACAGGAACGATTGCTGCCTGGGAATTCTATAAGAAAATCAGAAATTATGTTTCTAGTGCTATTAGGCGAGAGAAAAAAGCCTACCTCGATTACGTTATGAGACATAAAAATTCGAAGACTACATGGAATATACTTAGATCTTTGAATATCGTTAAACATAGCTCCATAAGTCTACCTCCACATCTTCAGGATCTCGATTCATTAAATAGTGCTTTTTTAAACGTACCTCAAACAACCAAATCATTAACTCAATTGAACCTTTTAGACAAATATGAAAACGTCAAGAATAGTGGTACTTTTCTGTTCACGACAGTTTCCCCTGTCACTGTAAAGAAATTTATTGATCGCATCAAAAGTCATGCTAAAGGCTCAGATGGCATCACAATTGATATGATCCGTATAATGCATAAGCATTTGCTCAAGTATATTACCTTCATTAACTTTTGTATAACAAATAATCTTTATCCCTCTTCCTGGAAGAATGCTCTTGTTCTCCCTCTGCCTAAATCTAATTATCCTTCAAGTTTTTCTGATCTTCGTCCTATAAGCATTTTACCAAGTTTATCTAAGCTTTTGGAAATGGCTCTACATGAGCAGCTGCACACATTTGTTTGTCAAAATAATTTACTGACCACCTCCCAATCTGGCTTCAGACCATTACATAGCACCACCACTGCGCTCCTGTCTATATCGGATAATATTTATAGCGCGGTTGATCAAGGAAAGCTGTCCTGCTTAGTTCTTCTTGATTTTAGCAAGGCCTTCGATACGGTTGACCCAAATATTCTCTGTAAAAAGCTTAGATACTTTGGCCTGTCATCATCGGCTTGCACGCTGATTAAGAGCTTTTTAACTGATCGCTCACAGTCTGTCATATATGAAAACAATATATCAACTTCTTTATTCAGAAATTTTGGTGTCCCTCAAGGATCTATTTTGAGTCCCCTTTTATTTGCTCTTTATATATGTGATTTTCATGAAACCGCCAGCAACTCAATCGTTCATCATTACGCCGATGATACCCAGCTTTATAACTGCTTCGATCCTGATGAATATATGCTTGGCCAACATCAAATAAATCAAGACCTGCAGTCTATTTTTGACATATCTAGTGCTCACAATCTAAAACTAAATCCTGGCAAATCATGCTGCATTTTATTTGGGCCCAAAAAGAATCGTGAAATAAATCAATATCGCATTAATATTATGGTGAATAATGAAGACATATCCTTCGTAAACGAATGCAAAAACCTTGGTAGCTGGTTTGACTGCAAGCTACGCTTCACTAAACATGTTAACCAACTATGCAATGCGTCCTATAATGTGCTTCGTCAGTTATATCCGAGTCGAAGTGTCCTGTCGACACAGCTCAAGCTTAAACTCTGCGAGTCCCTTATCCAGTCAAAATTATCTTACGGTGACTCTATTTATGGACCTGCTCTTTTACAACGTGATGCCGAGCAGATTCAGATGATACAAAACTCATGCATCAGATTTTCTTATGGAATCCGTAAATTTGATCATATTAGTAGCGCTTTTGACCAATCGGGATGGTTTAAGATGAACAAATTGAGGAAACTGCATTGCCTATCTCTGGTACATAAGACCCTTATCCTTAAAGCGCCATATTATCTTTATACAAAACTAAGCCTCCTCTGCCAGTACGATCAAAGATCCTCTAGGAATAAACTCATCTTACTTATCCCGCGGCATTCGACAGCATTGTTCACACGCAGTTTTTCGTACTGGGCACCCAAATTATATAACTGCTTATCAAGTGAGTATAAAGAATATAGCCTAAGCAATTTTAAAAAAAGGTTAAAGATGAGTTTAAAGCAGTCGGATGGCTAAAATTTTACTTTATGCATATCCACAGGTAATTGATTGTTTCCTTTCTCTGATAAGTGTTATATTCTAAGTTTTTTTTTTCTCTCTCTCTCTCTATAGTTTGCGTCAATGTTTTCCAGGTCGGGTTGAAAAACAGCATAAGCTGACACTCCACCTTTTCGTCACTGTTCCTTTTAAACCAATTATTTTGTAATCGTGTGACGAATAAAGGCCATTTATTATTATTATTATTATTCAAGTGGACATTTTTTTGTTGAAGTCGTACCTAGTCTTAAAAGTATTCTCTACATACTCGTAATACTTCATATTCTGACACACACAACAGATTTGCTTATCTTTAAGTTTACCTATGAAGTAAAAATATCGTTATCGCGTACTACTGAAGTCAGTAGTCGTGAACCAGTAATATAGCTTACGTTCCACCAACCACTAACCAATGACAGATGTTTCGTGTTATTTGGCAACTCCTCAGTATGGTCTAGGCAAGCCAACGAACGAAAACTGAACAACCATCCCCTATCCAGAGTATACGGTATCTTGAAATAAAACAGCACAAAGTGCCATGGTCTGCTAGAATCAACTACTTGGAAAGTGAAAATTGTATACCAATTTGATGTCAGCCGGATCACCACTCTGGCCACAAGATGCCACCGATTCTGGTGCTTAAAAGATAGTTGCCTAGGTTAGATTCATTTTTTGTTGATCGTTCCAACAAAATTATTCACGGATAGTGTTGCGTCAACTTTATATTATATCGGTACTTCAAAGTGACCTTACGCTACTATCGCAACGCTTTTTATTAACTTTGCTCAAACGAAATTACATATTCAACGACAAACAAAAACGTGTAATTCATAAAGCGTGTGTAACTTTTTGTTCTTAATTTACCTTGGGATGTTAATTAACAAGATAAACGTTGGCAGCGCTCACATTCCGTTTTAACGGTACCACTGTTTTCGGGGTAATCTATTCTATTAAATTTATGGACACCTTTTAATTAACTAACTTGCTTTTGAAACAATCAAGGCGCAGACAGATCCGTGTCTGAAAATTGTGTACATTTTTAACATAAAAGATAAAAGGCGGTGACCCATACATCATTCATTGGTTATGTTGTAAGTGACTCATTATGTATTGAGACTTCATAAGTAGGCCACAATAATTTGATATCGACATTTTTAGTCATTATCCCAAAACCCTCATTTTTGCGTGTTTTTTGATCTGTAGCATTATGAGAATATGTCATCTGCCTTTTTTAGTATTCCTGAAAACTATGGAATAACAGGTATCTATTTGTACAACCCAAGAATGTCTCCAGTGGGGATTGAGAGTTTTATTTATTATTGAGCTCAGAGTTATGATGCGGTATTGTCAGGGGCGGCTGGCCCTCAAGTTATGCACAGCTGCAGAACTGCCAAAACTTTTGTCTTAACAGAAAAAAGCAGTAGTAATTTGATCATTATTTATTTGCCATGTTATCACACAAATAGAAACAATACCGGCCTGCCCCCGCAAGACACGGCGTCGAGTCCGTTTTGCAGCATTATAATCGACCAATTGTGTACTTGTCATTTTCGTCGCGACCGCAGCGTAACATTATTCATGGGCCACTTGAAAGGGGTCTGTGCACTACTTCGACTCAAGTCGCACGCGCTTGCTTTTGTCTCTCTCTACGAAATCAAATGCGCGATTTAAGCATAAGCATGTGCTGCAATTTATGCAGATCCGTACAGATCTAATGCGAAGTACGATATCTGATTGGTCGGTCGGTGCATGAAAGCTCTAAAACACATCTTCATAATTCGATGGAATTGGCTTTATTGGGGACTGTTAACAGCAGAGCTCAGTTAGATTCAGCATATTGGAGAAATATACAACAGCATAATGATACCGTTATAAAAAACATGTACGTTCTATCAAAAATAATCGATGGTATAAAATTTTGCGAAGCATTTGAATTGGCGCTACAGGGCCACGACGAAACCGAGAGCTCCCAAAACCCGGGAATATTTCGTGGACTGATTAATTTTTCTGCTGAGCTTGATACAACCTCAAGCGAACACAAAAAATGCTTCAATATTTAAAGGAACTTCAAAAGAAATACAAAACGATCTACTGGATTGTATTCTTGAAGTTTGTCATGAAGAAATAATGAAACAGATTAACAGAGCCTCTTATTTGGCGATAATAGCAGATGAAACAACGGACATTTCGGGGAAAACCCGACTGGTAACAATTTTCAGATACGTATTTAACGGCGAACCAGTAGAACGTTTTTGGAATTATATGAATCCCAAAAAATGTGACGCTGATACTCTCACAAGACATATTTTGAGCATCATAGATTCATTAACAGGAAATTTCCCTTACAAAATGATTTCACAAAGCTATGATGGAGCCGCGGTAATGAGCGGACATAATGCTGGACTACAGGCAAAAATTAAACAAAGATATCCATTTGCTCACTATGTGCATTGCTATGCGCATCAGTTAAACCTGATTATTTCCCAAGGTGCTTCCGCAAATGCTCAAGTTCAGGTGTTCTTTTGGGGTTTAAAAGATATTCCGGGATTTTTTAATAATTCCCCTCAACGCGTCGACGTACTGAACAGAATTTTGGGGAAAAAATCTCCAAGGAGCAACAACTCGATGGAATTTTAATATTCGTACAATAAATGTAGTGTTTGAGAACAGAGAATCACTCATTGAATGCATGGAAGAAATAGAAGAAAATTTCGCTAATGAAACCGTTTGCAAGGCAGCTTGCGGTATTCGCCGTATGCTAAACGATTCTGTTTTCGTGTTTTGGTTGACATTTTTTCATCATGTCATGCCTCACGTCTTGTTCAACCAGTTGCAGAAGAGAAAAACCGAGCCAGCGAAAGTTAAAGCGGCTATCGATAA